CGCCTCCTCCATTTCCTCAATATCCGCTACGGCGGACCCTGTACCCACCACCACTGTACACAATCCTGACACGCCATCGTCAACGCCAGCGGCGTAGACTCGATTCATACCTGTCCTCATTGTAACCTCACCTCCACCTCGCACATCGGTTTGATCGGTCACTTGCGAATCTATCGCACAGAGACTGACAAACAAGTGTCTGGAGCACCAACATACACTCGCCGCATCCGCCTTAACTGTTGTCACTGCATTCGCACATTCACCCACCGCATGGGTCTATTAGGCCACATGCTCATTCCCGAAAACCTGCGGTAGACAACCGCGGCTAAAGCACACCACCACATCATCCCGACCTGCATCACAAACCATCACCCACCCCAAGCATCCAACTGCCACTTCCTACGCAAGTGGGACGTGTGTGCTCAGCTCCGTTTCAATGTGACTCTTCTGCTGTATGTGTGATCCGAGTTTGAGACAACCACGATGCGTTAAGCACCGTGGCTTGGAGGGTTCTGACTAACGCCCCATCTCTCAGTCCCTGCAGTCTGCCCAGTTATGTGGAGGGGTGAATTGGTGGGCCTAGAGCCAGGCCGAAACGGCTCCTTTCTAACGTGACCACGGCACTTACACACGTGAGACGTACGCCATCACACCCGCGTTTTGTGAAATCCTAATGCTCGGACCAGGTTGTGCATGTAGCGCACCCAGACAAGGTCAATAGATAGGCCAGTCACCGCGTTCATTCTCGCATGCCAACTGACCGGCTTGGACAGTGATTGGGGCCTGGAAATGGGAGACTGAGGTCGACGACTCAGCGCACTTTACTCATTATGATCAATCTGACGCGCCTGAAGCTATCACGGTGCGCTAAAAGACGTGGCTTGGAAGATTGCCAACTAACGGGATAACTTTAACCTCGCAGTCGATCCATTGTTGTGTGTTTGTGTGGAGCGGCCGACTAGCAGTGTAAGGATCGGGCTACAATGACTTCTTCTTAATGTGGCCTTTATGGCACTCCCATTTTGTGGGATCCGAGCCAGATATGACGGCACGCTTAGGTGCGACTTCGGCCGCGTCAGCCCCTTTTGTAGTTGGTCAAAATCGTGGTCATTTGCTGTGTGCACCAAGAGGTGTGGAGTGGAGCGCCAAGGTGCGGGCTCCACCGTGCCATCCATCTGCTTCCTCCCCTGCCTCTGTTCTTCTTGGCTATGTCTTGACACCGGGTTCAGGTGGGGGAGGCGAGGGTGCGGTAGATGCTGCGTAAGTCTATATTCACTACAAATTAATTCACGCTCAAGTCGCCGTCCCTGATTCACCCTGTTGTGGATCGCACGATGGATATTGTCGACAACGACGGTCGAACTGTAAATTCACCCGAGCTAGTATTAGACGCCTCCGGTGTTGCATGTTGCCATCTCCGTACGACATAAATGTGAATGTGGCAAAATTACCGGATACCCCCCTCTAGGGTAGAGCTCCGGTGGAGACAGTTGCTGAGGTGTAGATCTAGGCAGAGCCCAGTTTCGGGGAACTAGGGAATTAAGTTGGATACCAGTTAAGGGATGAGCTGAACAAATGTACCATGTATGAGGCATGTGGAGCGATTCCATACTAGTCCTGCAACACCATGTTTGGCTCCGCAACATCGACTTTGTATTGAGCCAAAGGCCTTCCCCGAGGCCGCGCATTTTGTTTCCTCGGTTCTGTAGACTGACTCTCATACCAGCCCTAAAATTCAATCACATAGAGCCACATGTTCTGTATTCAAACAGCTTTCGTTTTGTGCAAATCGACCGCATAAAATAAAATATATTACAAACAATAAAGGATTGGGTATGCGCAAGCCTTCAGTCAAGGCGAAGTGGGACTAAAAGATTATCATTTCCCAGCAACCTCACCCACCGTCCCACATGTATATATGCATGTCAAGTGGGTGCTTGACCCTCACTGTTGTGGTTAGGATCGCACTCGATCCCATTCTCTCTGCCCGCCGCTGCACTGAATGCAGTATTGAATCTGTCTACTGATGCTTCTGCACCTACTTTTTAGTGTATACTAAATCTGCACGCAAACCTATGACCTCTTTTAAATAGCATCTCTTTCCTCATTTATGTGAATTTCTTATGGACGCCGCGCTAGTAGATTTTGTGTTGCAGCGACGCTTTCACGAATTTAACGAAGTTGCAGGAGGCACGCCACCTACTGTGTCATTGGTATGTTCACGACCATTCACGTGATCCAGTTAGGTTGTTCTGCGCGCTGTGATACACTGCGCGTGCGGTTGACACTACGATTTAGTTTTGTCACGACTGAGCTTCCCTCGAAGTGCGCGGCACGAAACTCGTTTGGGATTTTTCTGTGCGGAAGAGCTGTTCCCACGCACCCAGGTTCGGCACTACCGACCTCGTGGATGCGCTCATCATTGTCGTTTCTCGACCGAGTTCGCTGGGGGCTGGTTGGAGTTCAGCGGAGTTACTGATGGTTTCAGTCAAGAAATGCGTACTGGAGGTGTTTTGCGCGAAAGACGAATCCGGAACTGTCATTTCTGAGTTATATGCAGTCATCAACCAGCTATGCATGAGATTTACAAGTGGAGAGCCTGCGACTTGAACCTGAGTTGACTAATCGTTCCCTTTTATTCCTGACCTGGGTACAACTGGCTGACGACGCAAGCAGGAACGGTGTGGCAACTCTCGTCTGTTTGTGAAGTATTCCTCCACTACCGATCGCTCGTCGCAACGCAGTCGCCAGGATCCGCTCCAGACCCAAAAATTCAAAGCAGGACGGAGTCGCTCACTTGCACCCTGTGATCAGAACGGCTCAATGGACGCCAATCCCAAACTACTTGCCTGCACAAACTTTCTAGAATGCGCTGACAGCGGGTAGCACAGATTCTACGGTCTGTACCGCCTCTCAGTTGGTTGATAATCTGTCTAATGTAATTTCATGACGCCCGTCCCGGCCACAGATCGCTGAAATGACAGAAAAACTTCGGAGTCGCCTAAAGATTCGCCGGTCTAAGTTCTCTCCGCTATTTTAAGGGATCCAGTAAAATTGAAGGCGTCGCAAAGGCCGGGGAACGAGATCCAGAAGTCAACAACAAAAAGAGCGTACTAAAACGGCTGTCTTTCTTGGTCTGATGACCGAACCTCATCCTTCCACAGTGCGCTAGCCACTCTAGGCCTCATATGAGGAACTCTTTTTCAGTGCAAAAGAATCTTTTCTGCCCTTCAGCATTATCGCAAGGATTAGAAACACCCAAGGAAAAAGTGAGCCTATATTCGTTTAAGTTAGCAAAAAAATTACAAAAGTTGCATGAGCTGCCGTAAACAAAGAAGCAGGGTGAGTGGAAGTGAGTAACATAGTAGATGTTTACAAAAACTGCCTTACAGCAACGAAACCTAGGATAAAGGGGGGAGAAAGGCAAAATTCAAAGGATAATACTGGTGCCTATTACAGGTGTCAAACGTTGGGTCGTGATTGATTGGGTGCACGGAAACGAGGCAGAAGAGCGGGAAGAGTGAACGGTATGTGTAAAACGTGTGCGTTTTCGTGCTTATTAGAATACAATAGAAGGCAGTATTTCAAAAGGTGACAGTGGCAATGCTTGTTAAGTCAGTGAAAAGTCGCAATATGGGCCCGTGAAATGCCCTGGGATAGTGGTTGTTGTTGTTTATGGCCACGCTTCATAATCCCAACTTCCTGGCCAGTCGTTCTCTCGCGGTCCCTCGACTTTTGGAGGTTCCTGAAAAAAGATACAAAGTGATGGTAGAGGAATAACGAAAATTTAAGGCAGACCAGGCGACCAAAAGATTAAACGCAGAAGATTGACACAACAGAAGGACAGTGAAGATTGCACTGGTGGAGGGCGCTCACCGATCGTTCTTACGGAAGTCACTCGTTCCGTTGTGCGTTGTGGGGTCCCTCTCGAGCCCAACCAGAAGCCTCACAGTGGCGCATGATATAGGCAGAATGTTATTATCGACAAAGACGAGGGAGGTTGGAATGTCCATTTCTGGCTTATTGGCCGTCGTCGGTCAATCACACCCAACCCCGAGGTGTGGAACACCTGGGGATCAAACTCGCAGCCTGTTAGTTAGAAGCCCAACGCTTCTAACCAATGAGCTACGGGCTCGTTGTCCTGTCGGATTCAATCGGGCATATACAATGGTGGAGGGGCGTTCACCGACCGTCCTAAAGGAACTCAATCGTTCCGTTGTGCACTGGCTACCGAAATAATTTCAGTAGAAGTGGTTTAGCAAACAGTGTGACCAGCCGAGGTCTGATGAGGGCTAACTTCTTCATATTGACCCAACTGTGAAAAACTTGGCGCCTCGGTGGAAGTCGAACCCACGGCCGCAAGGGGAAGGCTTTATCACAGCCAACGACCTAGCTACCTGATCTACGAGAGCCCACAGGAGAATGTGAGTTTAATCCCATTTGGGTCAAAACATCTATGAAGGCTAACTTCTTAACTTCGGACATTGGCACACAAAACATAGCGTCCAATCTGGGCCAAATAACATTACCGAAAAAGACAAGGGAGACTGGAATGGCCATTTCTGGTTTATTAGCCATCGTCAGGTTTATGATTGGCTGAATGAAGGTAAACAGGATCGAAAGGGTTCTGCGCCAATCTGGCCCCCAGACTGTAGTCTTCCCTCTGGTATACGTATATGCATATATATTGCTGATTGAAGCGAAAATGCGCGTTCCCGGATATAACTGAGAAGATAAGGCGATCGCAGGAACCATGGATTTATTTGCCTGACGTTAAGAAGGCAGACAAGCTTCCATCATCAGAGGTGGGTTGCGTACTGCACGTCACAGTACGCAACCCACCTCCGATGATAAAAGCTTGTCTGCTTTCGAAACGTCAGGCAAATAACTGATTGTCCGACCCTACAGGAGGACTGAGCTATCCAGTCAGATGGCAGCATTCCCAGCCACGGCCTTTAGCCCACCGTGACGGTTTAAAAGCGAGTGAAATTAATTATACGAATAGTTCCGTGGGGAAGCAGTCCCTAGATTTGATGTCATTTTCCCCTCTCCCACGCATTAGTATACTTTTTGGTGTAGACTCTATGACGCTACCACTCAGTTGGGATCTGAGCTGACCAATTTTTGTTTGTCAAAACCTGACCCATCATCCGTGGACCAGGAGTGTGGCATGACACGTTCAGACCGTATGCATGGCGTGGTCAACCGGCCTTTCTGACTCCATCTTGGCACCGGGTTCAGGTGGTTGAGGGGGGAGAGAGTACGGTACACGCAGCGCAGGTCTACTACCACAATAAACTAACTTACGCAGAAGTCACAGTCCAAAATTGCTGTAGGGCACACGGTGTACATCGTCGTCAGCGACGGTCGAACTGCCAACCTAGCAGTGCCAAATGTAGGACGCGCCCAGTGTGGAGAGCAAAGTTACTCAAAATTGTTCACTCGTCGGATCATACACATATTTTACAGCTAGATCCCTGTAAATAAAGAGTTCCGGGGATCGAACTTGCCTGCTAGTTTCAACCGAAACGTCAAACCGGGGCTAAAAGCACAAGCACTGAGCTTGTGTGTCCTCGCCGGTTTAACAGCCGGTCCACACAAACAGACAACAATCGATAGCTACAAATAGGGACGGAGTGAGAGGACAGAAATTTTGGTTGCCGGCGTTGCTGTGTCGGGGTCAAAGGAAGAGCAGGAAGGGACTGAGGTGAGCGAGGAAGGAGAGGCGCGGAGACTGCGGGAGGAGGACGTACGCACCTTTCGTATACGGGACCGGTCGTTAAAACCAGGCCAGACTACCGCGTGCTCACGCGGGGCTAGCAGGGCGCCGCGTCGCAAAGTGCCGCCAGTTGACTGCTTAAGTCGTGCGACTCGCAGGCCAAAAAGACAATGGCAAGATGCGCGGTTAATCATACGGCGTGTGTGAGAAAGTGGAGAATGTGTGGAGTTCAGTTCCACAGCTTTCAGCCGAAAAATTACCCAGACCCTTCCCTCATCTATGTCTGGAACTCAGCGAGTGATGAGTTTTGAATGTTAAAAACAGGTTGCTTTTTTTGAAAAACGGGTATTTGTAAGAATTGTTGCGTCGCATCGAAAGTGACAATCAGTTTGCGAAGAGTTATTAATTAGCACAAACAAATAGCTAACTCGAACTACAACACTTACCAGTCCTTTGTTTCTTTGGTGCTGTTTCAGATGCCTTGCGGACGGCTACGAACTAATAAGAAAAATTAAACAGAGTTAATCAAAAACGAAGTGTGTGGGAACTTATTGCAAGGTAGTAGGTGGGGCTTTAGAGAAGGAGTAACTTTGATCACCAGAGAAAGCCAGCATTTGGAAGGGCGGTTGATGAACATTGGTTAGGGAATGAAGCGATGCACTACTTACCCTGGTAGCAGCGTGACTGTCTGAGACAAAGAGTGGATGCCCAGAAAGGTGTCGATTTGAGGAAGTTGAGGACGCTGCTTTCCGTTTCGAGCGCTTCCTCGGGGACACTGTCAGTCAAGAAGAAGAAAATCCGTCATAAAAACTGGGGCGCGACAATAAATTTCACAAGAACAGTCGCTAACTCACGACTTTGGGAAAGGGTTGACTTTCTCTAACGGCTCGGAAACGAAGAGAAGAATAAAGGAGGAGGAGGAGGAGGAGGAGGAGGGACAGCAGACAGCTATACTGGCCGACCATTTCCATTTGCGAGCAATATGCTGGCAATCTGCCCAAACGCAACGGCGGACCTGGCGGATTCTTCTACTTTTCCCCATCCTGGCGCCCAGTTCCCACTTGCGGCTTCACGTAACCATGCTCAGCAGAGCAGTCACATCCCCGTAACCGCCCTTGACTGGCAGACTATACCACATGCAGGTATCCAGCGTGTGTGCGTCTCCAGTCTCTGAGCTGAATCCCCACCGCCAAAGCCCCTACCCCCAATGAGGGAGACACCAAACCGCGTAGGCAGCAAGGTTAATTCACGTAGTGTTCCCGCTGCAACGAAGTTGTGATACATAGTGATGTTCGGCAGATGATTTGGATGACTTGAAAACCACATTTTCGGACAAGAATATGTCTCAAATTGCTGTCAAAAATCGTCGTCTGACAAGTTGACAGTGGATTGTGGACGCGAAAATATGTGGTTGGAGAACTATACAGAACAATAATCACCCCCGGGCCCCATATCCGTGTCTCTTCACAGTCTGTGGGAGTGAGAGGTGTCGCAACCGAGTGCAGGACATTAATTAAGGTAATTGACTTCACTGAGTAAGAAAGTGTTGAAGTTATACGCCTGGAAATGGTGTTGGCCACAGACGGGGAGGGGGGGGGGCACACATAACCAAATTAAACCCAAAGAGTTGTGAAAATCCCCATGGAGGGATCTATAAGACCATTGGTGAGCATATGTGTGCTTCCGATACGAGCTTCCCGAGTTGCATACTTCTTCAAGTGAAACGCAATCTAATTCGTTGTTTGGCGCAAAGGGCCAGAAAAATCTGTTCGACAGAAAGTATCGACGAGGAACTTTGAAAGATCCAGGACCTCCTTTGCGAGAGGGGGTACCCTGACAAAATTATTGCGAAGAATATTATCAAGGGATCCGCAAAATCCACTACACTGGCGGCAGAGAAGAAAACAATGCTCCTCAAAGCCTCCTTTCAAGGGACGCAGCGAGTGAACTCCTGAGAAGACGCCCTGACCAGGCTTTTTCGTGAATCTTCACAGCAGTAAGAGTTTGGGTATTATTTACAGTCAACCCTGTTTTACACGGAGAAGGTAAGGATAGATTGACAGTTCGGCCCACTCCCATGTGTATTTACTCCTTTATCTGCTTCTGTGGAGCAGGTCATATTGGCAGCACAAGTAGGCCACAATCCAAAAAGTATACGGGAACACTTCAGAGCATGGTTGGGAAAAGGTGAGAATAAAAGCATAAACAGGGTCATTCTTGCATATATTGTTGATTCCCGGCATCAAATGGGCGTTAACGCAGCATTCTGTGTAATCGAAAAGCCCCCCCCCCCCCCGAACTACCCTACGTTATTTGGTCAGCACCAGTTAGGAGCAGCGGAGGTGACTCCCATCAGGTTACGGGAGGCGGTCTTTTGCGCACAGAAGAACCTGGTACAAGCTCCACGCCTACCGTGGCCAAAGGCCGGTTAACCGCATGCATTCACCGGCGCCCTTCCGCCTAATCCCCACTGCACCCCAAACCTCCTCTATTATTACTCCTCCCCTATTCCCATAACCCACTTGTATGAAAAGGCGAACTGGAATCGATTTCTCTTATCATTCGCATGTTTTACCTATACTCAGTTCCCATATACAGTAGGTGGGCTAACTCATGAGATGTCAACCGAAATTCCGAGATGCGTTATCGTTTCGAATAGATAAATTAAGTAGGGTTGTAAAACTAGTCAGCCTGCAGTTTAATTCTATAATAGTGCAGTTAACGCAGGATGCCGGCTTTCGAAAGAACTTCCTTCCGGCTGCATGCAAAAACTGTAATCTGTAAAGAATGACTGCCTAAGTAGCATGCATTTTTCTCATTGATTTTCGATGTCTCTAAAAGTCTAATTATAGTTCATGGAAAGCATGCATAAAAATATTCATTCTTTTACTCATTTGGCGGAGAATTATGTTTTCTTTCAATTTGATACTCGAAGAAGGGACATAATTCGGTTTCAAAAAAGTTTCTAATTATGAGACTTTTTAATACCGTGAAATGGCCATTCATAAAACGTCATGTCTCTACATTTATCAATGTGGCTTGTAAAGTTAACAATATGGATCAAATTCAATGCTAAATTTTATGAACCCCATATGGTCTCCTCTTAATACCGTAGGGAAAAATGCACGCTACTTAAGCAGTCATTTTTTTACAGAGTATAGTTTTAGCATGCAGCCGGAAGGAAGTTATTTCGAAAGCCGGCATCCTGCGGTAAGTGACTTATTATAGAATTATAGAATTATTATAGAATGATTGGTTTTACAACCCTACCTAATTAATCTTTTTGAAACGAAGACGCATTTCACAATTTCAGTTGGCATTTCATGAGTTAGCCCACCTACTGTAAATGCACTGGCCCGACAAGAATTTGTCGAAAGCACACGTACGCTCACCAACTAGCCTTCTAAACTAAAAGAGTTCTGACCTATTATCGTCCGCTGCAGCCAACGTCTTCACGAGGAACCGCGCGGTGGTCGGGAAGAGGACATTAAGCCACAGTGCAGGGTCAAACGTTGACAGTCCTTCTTGATCACATTTTCACACAGATAACATGAAGAGCACACATTACGCACAGAGCAGACGCAGCCTACTAGCGGAGCAACCACAAAAACAGCTAGGAACGTAATACGACGCTTGCCTTCCAACAGGAATTAGACTGCAGCTACGGCCCGATATAATGTTAGAAAACGACGCGTGATGAGCACACTGGAGGCCAACATAACGCTAATGGAGCAAAAAACGATGGCGAGATAGTAGGATAGGCAGTACAAATCAAAGGGACAACAACCTCAGCTCTGTCATCGACTCCCACCTCACCAAGGTCATCTGTGCCAAAGACGCTTGAGCAGGAGAGAAACCCGGATGTAAAAATAGACTTAGGTTAACCGATTTTCTTCCGAGGCATGAGCATTAGTCCCGAAAACAGAAAAAAGCATCTGCAAAGGCAGTTGGTTTGGCCCACGATAACATGACATGATGACGTAACTCCCCACCCCCTCGACTAGGGATTCGAGCCCAGGACATAGACGATACAGCTGTTTCTGTATGCGTGGGAAAATAAAAGAGTACTTAAACGCACGACTAGGGCGCCAAGTGGGATCCGGATCGTCCGCGTCAAACATGGACGTTTTGGAAGTTGAACCTCCAAGACGAGAACGATGGCGGCGACGGGTGCCGGTCGATTTGCCCTTTCCTTCATCATCAGAGCCCGAGAGTGCGTAGACGTCTGTCGGGAAAAAAACGACAGGTAATGCAAAAACCGAAAGGTGTGAAGTTGATTATGGGGGAAGGTTAACAAACGCTCACAATGGTCGCCAACAAGGCGGCTGTTCTTTAGTTCAGGAACCGCCTCTAGCACTTCATCGGTCTCGGAGATGGGTTGTGAATTAGGAGACACGCAGCCGCACTTGCTGCAGCAAGGAGTCTCCAGCGGCCTCATTCTCTTGCAGGAGCTAGTAGGAAAAATATGAAACAAAGTACTACTGATTAACCATAAGTAGGGCGGGCTTGAATGATAAAAAACGGGCAGGGGCTGGAAGGAGTGGGCCACAGAGGACGAAAATATCTACAGCCATTGATAAATGAATGCGGGCTTAACACCTTAAAGTCAGAAGGGCTTTTACAGCACGTGAATGGGGTAAATAACCAGAAAGAGAAGAAAACAAATGGCGTAGCAGCCGGAAAAGCATCTGGACTTCTAGACCTTACCGCAGGAACTGAAAACTTTGTAATTACTCATTTCCCCGACTCAAACGTTGATTACTCTTATTTCTTCCCGAGTTGGTAGATGAAAAGAATGGACCGCCGGTACTCGGCACGCTAGGCAAGTGTACGGAGCTCGACTGTTAAAAACTGGCAAGCGTTGAGGGCCCACCGTGCGATCGGATCAAGAGCCAGTGCTACGTAGTCCGTAGATGCCAGCCCAGGATTCCTGTAAAACAGGCCAGCGACTAAGAAACGGGGCTACCGAGTCGTCTGACGGAGAATGGGCGTGACGAACTGGTTGTTCTGAAACACCCCAGTCGGAATTCCGATCATTATGCTGCAGAAGGAATTCATATGCAGTTGTTGTTTGTTGCCTCAGTCAGCAGGAGGGGCAGAAACGCAAGAGATCTCTCTTTCTCTCCACTTTTGTCACCAAATGAGAGTGCGACGTACTGAATGAACGGACAGGCGATGAGAACTCCACCTACCGCACATGCAGCTGTGACGGTACAGCGCACTGCAAAAATAGCCCACCCGGCGAGCACTATGATTGCCATCTTTGCCTTGGGGAGGCGTTTGATAGCGTGTAGATTCGACTGTAGAAGGAAGAAACTCCGTCACGAACCTACCTCACACTGCTCCTAAACTCATCGTGCCTCCGTGGCAGGATATGGAAAATTGGGTTAGACGCTACCGACCACAGCGGAATAGACACGTAATACCCATACATGCAAGCCTGATCATGGTATTATTTCCGCATCGTAAATTATCCAACTGAAAATAACTTCCAAATGAGCATTCGGCCAGAGAAGAGCGCCATCCAAGATTTAATCGCTGGCGACATACTGGTTCTCCACGCAGATTCGAATAGATTTTCAAGTCTTTTCGAAAGGGAGCATAGGTGCCGGTGCGATCACCGACCTAACAGTAAGCCGGAAATTCAACAGGAAGTTCCTGGACTTACTGGCAGGTTTTTTTACTTATTCAGGTAAAAGAGACGCTAACTCTATTAATTTTTTTTAAGGATTTAATTAAATCTGTGCATTTTCTCTCTCAAATTGGTTGCTGAAGGCTTACCCCACGAGCATGTTGCAATGAAGAGAAACAGACAGACGGCATAATAATATGGCAGTAACCCGCAGACATTTCAGGGCATGCCACTGATACGACCGTGTTCAGGGCATCCAGATCATTTCTGCTAATATGTAATGAGCGAGTCAAACGCTATGCCTGGCTGGAAATAAGTTTTGGTGATCAGCAGTCTATAGTGTCACGGGTGAATGTGGTCGCTAAATCAGTCGGTTTATCCATGAACGCCGGCAAGACCAAAGTGTTTTCAAGCTGCATCCCTGACCAGGAGAAGGCACCCCTCGGGATTGATGGCTATCAACTTGAAGAAGTAGACAGTTTTAAATACCTCGGGGCTAGGCTGCTGCCTAATGGACAGAATAAGGAGGACATTGTCTCCCGAATCGATGCTGCCCGCTGGGTTTTCTCAAGCCTCCGGAAATGCCTATGGAACCGACGTGACCTCTCCATCTCCACTAAGATTCGCATGTAACGTGCATCTGTCCGGTCTGTCCTTCTCTACGGTTGTGAATGCTGGGCTTTGTGCGTGGAGGACGAGCGAAAACTGGAGGTATTTGACCACCACTGCTTGAGGACCATTCTTCGAGTGAAGTTCACCGACTTCGTCTCAAATGAGACAGTCCGCGCTCGCTGAGACAACATCGCAAGGATGGCTCAAGCCATCCAAGAAAGACGGCTGAGGTGGTTTGGGCATGTTCTTCATCGTCCACCTCAGGAGCTCAGTGTTACTGCCCTCGATCCGGCATCGTTACCCCATTGGAGGCCTCGAAGAGGGTGTCAGTTCAAAACCTGGTTCGACACAGTTCGTCAAGACATGGAGGTGGTTCTTGGACCTTCAGTATTCGGTCTCGTCGTTAGCGAAGGGAATGGATTGAACTGTCCAGATCTGCTGCCGCGGATCGTCACGCGTGGAGAGGTACAGTTCGGGACATCATCGAGGCCGGCTAGATCAGGCATGATCGCAGCCGTATCAAGTACAAATAAGTGGAGGAAAGAATAATCAAATGGAGGACGTGATTTCATGATTCTAATACTAGGAGACCAAGGGTTCCCAGATGGCACATGGCCAATGGGTTTACCTGCAGTTCTTCTAATACCCACAGGCTTGGAACACGTTAGGATCGGGAGGGCTTGCATGTATTAGCACAGGTCTGGAAGGAGTAGAGGTAGACAGTGAAAATGCAGGAACAACATACAACGGAGAGCTGGTAGACGGAAGGGAGGAGTCAGTGGACATCATGCAGTGGCAGTCGCCGGATGCCTGACAATTGCGATTTCGCTGACGTTCAGCAGTCCTCACTCTGTTCGCAAATTCGCGCAATACCTCCTCCAGTTTGCAGATGAGGGTTGGGCAGGCGTATTGGAGGTAGCAACGTGGAGGCAGATAGTGTGCTCTTTCATTCTTTGGCTTCTAAAAAACCGCGTGGAATGGACAAGCGAGTAGGAGACAGCAAACAAGGAATAAGAATTAGCGGCCAGTTGTGCACAGAGGATGATTATAGAAAAGGCAGGTCGAGGGAGGGGATGCAATATGCTGTAGTCGAAATGTTTGTTTCGATTTCCGGTTTATTAAGGATTTTTGTTAGATTCGCCCTGACGTTTAGTCTATCACACTGCAGAGCATTTCCAAGGAACGATCAAACGGATAAAGCATTCTTACGTTTCTGTGTCGTTCGTACCATCTACGCAGGTACTTTAGGAGAGAATGTGCCCCTCTAAGTTGATAGTCCAGCGGTTTCTGGTCCGTGAGTAGGTCATCTGCAAGGTAAGCAGTGAAAAATACGTTACAAAACTACATAACAGAACGACGCTGAGAGACAGCGCTGTCAAGGTTCGTCGCATCTGACGAGAGCGTCACCATTACATCTGCAAGCGGGGGTGGCTTAAACGTGATTCGGGTTGTTGTGGAGAGGAGGAGGAGGAGGAGGAGGAGGAGGAGGAGGAGCATTCGCAGGGTCGACATCACTCTCTCTTCAGACACCTGTAATGCTCCAGTGGAATGACGACTGGAGAGCGGTAGATGCGCACCGGATACTTAATGGTGTCTACGCTTGTCACTGGCGTACAAAAGACAGCAAAAAGCAGCCGGTCGCATGGTGCCCGATGAGGGCAAAAGTCCGGAATATCTGCTGTTTCGGGCGGTTTTTCTTAAACTCATCTCATACTCAAAAAGGCCAGGCTAAGGCTTACGATCACTGGGCGCCTGTGTAGCCAACTGGGAACAGCTTACGCCCCTCCAGCCCGCATGTTTGTGCTTGCGTCAATAGGGCAGCAGCAGCGGCAGCAGCAGCCGCAGCTGTGACAGAGTGGTGCCGTTACGGTGACCACTGCCGTTACGGAGGATGCAGAACAGGAGTGCCAACCGCGGTTGCAGTCACGGCGTGTCAGTGATGAGTCCTGACATGCAGCGGCCACACAGAGGAAGGCAGGCGCAGGTCTGGTCAGGGCCTACCCCACTGCTGCAGTCGGTTACATGCCAGGCGCACATCCGGGGATAATGAGTCACAGGCGTGTATGCGAAAAGGGCGGCAGAGATGATATTAAGACAGAAATTTGCAGGCATGTCATGACGAGCCCACGTGCATTGCAGGCAGAAAGGAAGCAGCTATAGTGCCGGCGAACTGTCATAGGCCTACAGACACCTATGGGACTGGGAACAACTACGGACAGGCAGCCTATTCGACACGGCTTCGAACAGGTCGAACTGCCCACCTTTTATCAGCGTGACTGAAAATCTTCCATGTCGTAAAACTACGACAGCCCAACAAGGCAGAGGCATTGGACAGATAGACCAGATCTCCGTCTTGTTTAATATCCGAGGAAATTAGTGTGCGACATTCGGAACAAAACTTCACAGGCTCGGTCCTACAGTTGAGAGGAATATTAAGGCTTAAATCCACCAGGTACTGCGGAATAACCGCGTAATATTCACAAGATGCCAACAGGTGGTCATTAGTATACAAATGCTGAGTGAGTTACCATAGTGACAGCACAGTCGTCTCCTAGACTGTATCGAGGTAGGCAAAAACCGATGGTCAGCACAGTCGGCCAGATAGTCGAGAAGATTCCTGGCTTCAAGCGACGACGAGGCAACAAACCAGCCAACTCAGGAACCCTACAACCGACTCTCAGAAGCTCCAGCTGGACCTAGAGATGGTTATTGCTTCGGTTAAGTCAGAAAAATGACGACAGATTGACCCAAAGAAGAAAACAGGAACTGGTAGATCGATGGGGTGACATCCATTGAAGGGATCTCTGACGTCTGTTAAACTCGAAGATGATGCCAGATCATTTATCTGTGCAGTCTCTATGGTGGCTTGGGAGCAGAAAACTCGCCCAACTCCGAGAGCTGGCGCGAACATTGACACTGTTGGGGCGCTCTAGTCCATTTATTGTGAGTTTCCGAGACGAACAACGATGGTAGGCAGTATGTCCGGAAAAAGTGTGTCGCCATGACTAAGGTCATATAGCTCTGATGGCAGCGAAACAGCAAGTCGTAGGAAGCATGTGTGAAGAGGGAGATCCGACCATTGTAAGAAGAATTCTGTTTGCCTGACGTTTCGGATTTACACCTGGACCCACCGTGAACGACCACGTCCACCGTGTGATCCGCAGAGTGGGCGCAGCACTGATAAAATGCCAGAAAATTAGTTTATAGTAGAATAGTGGTTCGCAGGGCCTACCGCACTCTCGCTTCCCCTACCTACCTTGCTTCGATGGCGAGACAGTGTCAAGACGGAAGGAGGTGGACGCGCGCACAGCGGATGACGAGGCCAAACGACCAGTCTACGCGTACCACACACGAGTTGGTTCCCACTGCATGCGGAAGGCGCTTCTGTAAGGACGGCTCCAGTCTAACGTGTGTGGGGGGGGGGGCGGCATAAAAGTCATAATTAGGAGCCACTGCAGCCCGACTCTCAGTCCTCCAGTCACTGCAAAGTACTCTTATGACGACCGAACTATCTGGTCATTTGGCAACCTTCCGGGCCACGTGTCGTGAGAGACTTAAGTGCGTCAGATTTATTATAATGAGGAATGAGCTTATGTGCAGTTAGGCCGGTTTCCCGCCTAATGTCTGCTTCACTTCTTCTCTTCCCTCTTTCATGCACCAGTCGACTACCTGGGCCAGTCAAACAGCTGGTAATGAGACGGGGCACAGTGGCTGGTTAACGCGGCGTGTAAGCCCAGGTCTAGGGCGTGCCACATACACACATGCATGTACGGCAGTAATTATGAGGCGGCGCAGACTCAGTGCAGTGCGATAAACGCGTGTGCCGTACGTCGGTCTGGTCCTCGATTTGGTCCAGCGCATCTGCGGCGAAGCCCGTTGTGGGAAGCCAGAGCCCATCATCAGTGATAGCAACAACGGATAGGTAGGCACACAAGGGTTGCGGTTTTTTTATAGGATGCGATTGCCGTGTAGTCACATCCACGTCAACAGTAGCAGTTCCTGCACTATAGCGCTCTCCATAAATGTCCGACGTTTTGTCCATTAACGGCCTCTCCCAACCGTCCGATGTTCGGACCGGCGTTGCGTAAGGATGAATCTAGTCGTCTGGCATACGGAACCACGTAATCTGTCGAACTCGCCAAAACGGTGTTGGACGAGCATCGGGGCGCAAGCTGGGTACTACTGGCTAACGACGGCTCATAAGCTAGAAATGGCCATTCCAGTCTCCCTCGTCTTTGTCGATAATGTTGCTCTGACTGGTCCTCACCATGCTGACTGTATCTGCCTGCTAGGCAAAGCTACAACGACCGATATAAAGTAGCCCCCTGGGAGAACATGACCTCTGAATCACTTGGTTTGCCCATCAGCCGATAAGAGAATCCATATTCGCTGCGACTGTCTCGCAAGGGTACCCATACTGTCAAAAATGACAGCTGAAGGAACACGCAGAAGTATTTTGTTATGTGCTCGACACAGTCTGTCGAGACATTGGGCGGATTTTCGGCATTCGGTCTTTATCGCTGGTCCGAAATTCCCAGATCTGCTGTTGCGCAACGCCGTTGAGGCCGATTAGATCAAGGATTGTCACGATTCAGTTACCTAAATAGAGTTAATCGTTCCAGACACAATTGTTTTCCAGAAATGTGTCTAGCCGAGGGAGTGAACAATGATCAACGAATTTTATTCACTTGGTGGCTGATGCTAATGTTAACAGATGAAAGCAAGTTGAATGGTTCTCCTGGTCAAAGCATGGACTCCTAGACTTAAGTTTACAGTACCATCTGTTCATAAAGGTCCGAACGAAGAATAAGTGCTTACGCCACTCTACCAGACAGTCGTCCCCCAACATAATGAAGTTTCACTATAACAGACAAACTAGATATATTGAAACTTTCGGTCGACAAGACGGTTTAGTCCTAATGCAGTCTATAATTCCCCCCACATTGGTGGGGGTTCACAATAGGGCAACTTGAAAGAGGAGCTCTGTAAACACTGGTCAAACGTGACAGTGGTAGTTGCGACGCCTTAAAGCTTGTGAGCCGCAGGACGTCTAGCAAGAGGCCGCTGGAGATCCAAATAAACCTTGAATCAGATACTTGTCACGGACCCAGGGCATATAGGCGAAAAAGTGACTGCCGAACGAGGGGTTCCCTGAACCTTTCAAAGGTTTGCACGCGAGGCAGGAGCTTGTGTAGTAAGCGTAACATTGGCATCGCATATGCCACCACTCAAGTAAAACTCCTGAACCCCTATCGATTCGGTAGAGATGAATCAAGTATTTCATTAAAATGGGTCACATAGTGCGATTTAGCCCGCAGCAGTGGATAATTCATCAGGAAACGGAGTAGTGAACAGTAAACGCAAAGGGCATGAGTTCTTGGAGGATTATGGGGGGCCGAGGTTAGACGTTGACGCGAATTGAACAGTGGGAAGCTCGTCCCCATCCGAGGGGAGTGGAAATTAGCGTTTGAAAAGCAAACACGAGGAAAAAACAGGTTAGAGAAAGGCAATAGACTCACTCTTAAGACGTCCCAGAATTAAATCGCTCGCGTACCAGTGCAGCTTTTCAAAGTACGGAAAGAGGAAACGCTGGGCGGTGCCCTGTTTCTGCTCCATCCTGTAAACGCTGGCGAAAAAAAAACAGGGTTAGTGAAGTTAGTAAGTGAGGTAATAATGTCACTTAGCATCCCCACTCCTACCAGTACATTTTCAGCTGGAAGTGGATGGGACCATGAAAGTACGAGCTGCCGGGCGCTGGGCGGGATTCACGCCTAAATGCCCTCAATTCTGTAGAGCAGCACAGACAATACTCTGACTACCCTGCATATAGATCACTACCGCCACACAACAGCAGACACGTTTGAGAAATGTTCGTCTTAATCACTCCTGCTTCCAATTACATGTCCTAAAACATTCACACTGGAAATACTGGTCAGGCACAGGAAACTGTAGGTCACCGAAGGCCAATTCGCCCAGACTGTCAGGTTTCAGGCACCATGTGACATGCACGCATTCCAGTAGAAGTGATCGACGCGAGTTCTGTCTGGAAGCACGCAAAGGCTTGTCTCTAAAATGCGGACCTGCGGTGTCGAAAATCGGCCAAAAAGTATGTGTCACGTGGTCCTTACTGTCTTCTCCAAAGTCCCAGTAAAACGAACCACTCGAGATGGATGGAGGGCAGAGGAGGCGCCGTGGCTTGCCGAATATCTCGAACCGATCTGCGGGTAGAACACGTTGTTCGCTCGCTTACGTACCACGAAAAGTGGAAATAGGTGCATGGAAATTGACAGTCAGGCCGAAGCAAGTACGCCCGAGCTCCATTGTATCTGTATTTTGAGTCAGATAAAATGTGGATAGATATAAGGCCGGGTCTGACCGACCTGAGATTGGGGTGGAGTTAGCTGAGGGTGGTAGGTAGGCAGGAAACTTCTACCTCAATCTCTCCCTTTTTCAGGCCCTAACGTCTGACAATAACTGGTTGTTTGTCATCACGGGACTGCCATTGAGGCCTCTGGATCAGTGTTTTGCGCAAAACAGAAAGACCCATGTCCCGCTCTGCGAGCGAGCACGTGAGTCAAGACAGTTTCAGGGTGATTTTAAGGTCACGAACCCTGTTCGAGGGAAGTCCTGTGAAGAGCTGCGGCAGCCATAGCTTGAACATCTTGTCCCCAGTGTGCTATTTTTTAAAATTTTATGCTGGAGGGTGGATTCCGGTACGCTTCTATCGGTATCCCTGGGGGTTCTCGTAGGTAAACGACCCTGCTTTATCTGGTTCGTTAAATCTCGGCTGGCAAAAAAGCGGGTTTTCATAACGTGCAGTTGTCACAACATGTGACAGACGACTTTTGACAGTCATTTTAATCGTGTCAGAAGTCCTCGTTGAAGTAACAAACGCGGTGCAGTGACCGCCAGTAATTCCTATAAAGAACTTTTGCATCCGTCGTGAACGAAAGGTTGTGCCGATAGTTCCGCACATTTTGAAATCCCTATCTTGTCTCCGACATGATAATGTAGGGACCTTCGGCAGGTTGTGGACGAAGTCATTTTTCAATAAGATTATGACGACATACCTCCTGGTAGTTACTACAGACCTTTGTGCCTGAACTGGATTATGGAATAGGACACTTGGACAACGTCGGCCTCATTGTCCCTCTACATTTTTGCGGTGTCCTACCATCAAGACTGTGTCAAGAGGATCGTAGAAGAACTTGTACTATCCTGGCTGACAAGTTATAGTGCTTTCATCGATGTGTACCAAACATATAGTGGTGACTCTCGCAACAAGACCGGATTTCACAAATTCAGGTAATAATACTGCCCAAAGGCGAGGCAGCAGTCAGGCTCTAACTGAAGGACGAGTTTTCCTCTGGTCTTCCAGACTCCGACTACTATGATTATACATAAGATTGAGTGGGCATACGCGAAAGTTGCTACAAAACAACATTGAGAGGAAGTCAATGCGGCCTGACGGGATGAAAAGCGGTCTTTCAAGTTACGACGTTTAGGGCGCCGGGACAATTCTAAACTGCGTCAGATTTGCACAATACGGTGGGGAGGGGGCGTGTAAGGACAATGTGAAATCAATTAGAAATAACCTCAGGTGCAATCGGTGACCGAGCATTTGACTTCCACCACGCACGTGCTTAGTCCCTTTCAGGTTTGGTCCAACAGTTCTACCCGTCTAGGGAGCCAAACTACTAATAGTCGCCAACTCACGTGCAGGATAGTCTGTCGTTTAGAACCGGAACCACCTTCGGTAACGTTGTTTGGATTTCTTCGAACTGCTGGTTTCGATTTCTTCTTGTCTCGAGTAAAACTGGACGCAGCGACTGAACAGTCAACTTACCTCATCTACACGTGCCACAAAAAAGAGCGACGGTTTTGCCTTCTCTCAAATCACAACCCCCCCCCCTCCCACCTCGGATCATTACGCCAGTAGCACAAAGGGGGAGGGGGACAGGGGGAATACACTTACCTCAACTGAAGTGGAATGGCCAATTGGGTGAGAAAGTTGCCACCAAATACGAGGCTGTCACAGGGCGTGTAAACGGCGTGGATCCAACCCGCTGGTAGAAGAATAGTTTCGCCGGCTCTCATGTGCAGACGTGCAACCTGGGGCATGGGGCGGCCATCCGGAACACTTTTATCCGTTTCTGAAGGACAGTCCACAAGGGATTTACTCAATATTGCATCTGACATTAGCGAACAGTGACCAGATGGAACAAATACTCCAGTTCTAGGTAATTGGTCGTGCAAATAAGAAAATCGTAACAAATGGTGAGGTAGCGCACACAGAAGAAAGTTTAAAACAACGGAGCTCCGCTATTCATGTGTACCTAAGATAGAGCATCAGAGTGTTCTGGCTTTCAGGGTGGCAAACAGTACTACTCCATAACGAAGACGCGAAAACTTATCAAACGGAACTAGAATTGTACATGCGTTATTCATCCCTTCCTCTATTTGCGCTAGTTCGGGCTCTCCCTCTCCCTCCTCCTCTTCCTCTTCTTTTTCTTCTTATCAACTAGTTCCTGGAACTTGCATCTTCGCTTGTATAAGTAACTGACTAGTTACTTTGACCTTAAGTGGGCCGGGAAGACCCGGGTCAGTCGCCTAGGTGGTGAAATCCAGCCAAGTTCACGCCCTGTACGCAGAAATCAAAATTGCCCACCACACTAGGAGAGCGGTAACTAAGCTCGAGCTCTCAACGACAGTGGCACAGTCGTGACGTGAAATGTTAAGGATAAGGAAATCATGTACAAAACCAGAGCTTTGGGGTAGGGATAGAATTTAGAATTTCACAGTATTGAGTCAAAAGTCTATCGTCTATCGGGCGTCACCGAGGACGCTCACACTGAGGGCGACAGTAATGGCCGTTAGGAACGAGTTATGAAGTTTGCAGTTGGTCCAGGTCGCCATGGGGCATTTGCGACTGCATCGTATCATACCTGATGGTTGTGCGCTTTTATCGCCAGACTTGAAGTGAGGTTTTGAATGAACTTCATAGAACAGTTGACAAAAACCTGATATCTTTTAATAATACCTTGTAATCATATAAATGCGAGCAGAGATCAATGTGTCATAACGAATTCTCAAGTGGATTCCCGAATAATTTGTTTTATACAGTGCGTAACCTATCTCATGAAATGTTGGCTGAAATTCTGAAATGCGTTTTCGATTTGGAAGGATTACTTGGCGCGGTTGTGATTCTGATTACCTTAAGGCATACACTTATAACATTTTAGACTCGGTAGAATGTCGGCTTTAAAATGCACTTCTTTTCAATCTCCTGTAGAAAGCGTGCTCGGGAAGAAATGACTACTTAAGTAGCATGCATTTTCCCCATTAATTTTCGATGGTCTTGGAAATTCAAATATATTTTATAGAAACCACAAACAAAAATATGCTTTTTTAGTCAATCAATAGAGAATCACGTCTTCTTTATATTTTATACTTAAGGAAGGAGTATAATTAGGTTTTAAAAAGTTTTCCAATTGCCGAAAAATTTGGAGCCTGATCATTCGTTGCATTAGCGCTTAGTGATTACACTCTACAAGGTGCATGCGTTCTGCGTAAAGGAAACCACATATTTTTCTATATCATTAAAGAGATATCATACAGGGTCCATAAAAGTTTGCAATGGATGCGGACCATGTTGTACATTTCATGAGGAGCAGTGGTAAACGGCCAGGTACGATGCTATGTGAATGGACATACCGCGGTCTTAAAAAGTCTCATAATTAGAAACTTTTTTAAAACCTAATTATACTCCTTCCTTAAGTATAAAATATAAAGAAGACGTGATTCTCTATTGATTGACTAAAAGAAAGCATATTTTTGTTTGTGGTTTCTATAAAGTATATTTGAATTTCCAAGACCATCAAAAATCAATAGGAAAATGCATGCTACTTAAGTAGTCATTTCTTCCCGAGCACGCTTTCTACAGGAGATTGAAATAAAGTGCATTTTAAAGCCGACATTCTGCCGAGTCTAAAATGTTATAAGTGTATGCCTTAAGGTAATCAGAATCACAACCGCGACCAAGTAATCCTTCCTAATCGAAAACACATTTCAGAATTTCAGCCAACATTTCATGAGATAGGTCACGCACTGTAGCTAACAACACTTAGGTCGGCCGTTCTTACCCTGTCCGTTTTTCCGTTCGACCGCCTAGAGCTGGGAATAGTCCAAAGAAAATCTCACCTGGGAAAAACGCGGTCCACACAATTATAGAAACCCTACGACTGTGAACACAAACAGAACCCCCGGCGCGTGACTATAGTAAGAAAAAATGAAAAAGTACAGTGTTCACAGTAGAAAGACTCACGACGAAGCGGTAAAAGGTCCGGGAAGTAGACATAGCGATTATCAGCCATCCCATTCCAGCGCCAGTAGGCCTCCAAGTTTTCTCGAGTCGGTGGAGCAACATAGAATATTTTTTCGCCCTAGGAAAAGTAATCAGTAACAATCAACCCAAGGTAAATAGGCGGGCACTTACCCACAGAATGTGATACCAAACAGAGGATCCACCGAAATCGATGTGAAAATCCGTGTAGGAGTCTCCCATACTCATAAGACAGTACTTTTGTACATTTGGGCGTAAACTGGAGACACAGTCGGCATCACAGGATGAGTAGTCGTCTCGTTGGCCGTCATCATCCTCAGGCCAGCAGTTGTCAACAAGACTCAGCTCCTTCACAACATGTGGAGGCCGTACCAAACTGGCGAGTCTAAACTTGGGAAGGAGTAAGAGATTGGTAAAGGTGGCAGCCCACTTTGTTTGAGAGTACTCAAAACTGAGCACGTTTAGGATTCGTTCGCGAGGACGCGCCAGAAACAGGTCTACAAACTGGCCAAGCGGCATTTTCATGTCGGATTGAAGAGCAACATCAATGACATCGATGGGAATGTTTGGATCTATATGGCACAGAAGAAACAGTCGTTTTACGACAAGACAGTCAACACAACCCTGTCTCAAGCAGGATAACATACCTGAAAATTCGACAACGTCAAGAAGGGAAAATGAGCGCGGAGGGACCTTCATACGTAGGCCCTCTTTGTCGGATACCAACGTTGGTTTTGTGAAGCCAGTAGCAGTCAAGTTGTAGCCATTCACATCTTCGCCGCGCATATAGTTCACAAAGGGTCGTGGGCTGGAGATCACAGAAAAGCAGTAGCAGGTGAAAAACACAAGTATCTGCAAAAAACAACCTTAAACGTCGTCGAATTCTCACAAAACCGCGAGCGTAAGGCGGCGCGACTGTATCAACAAAAACGAAATCCCTAACTGTATGCGAGTCTGACTAGCTAAATAGCTATCCTTCAGGATTTGGTCCGCTAACAAATGAAACATGCATACAAGAATTCGACTATCATATGAGGCCTTCTTTGTCCAAGCTAATCGCAGCGAGAAATGGATGAGGTAGCATGCGGAGATTAGCGGTCCCAAAAGTAGCTGGTTTTCCAACAGGGTTGAACAAAGATGACTACAATGCCTATACTCAGTACGAAATAGATACATAATAAGTATCAATTTTTCTATCGATTTAGATGCCCTTATAAATTCCCTTACACTTTGTAGAAAACACACAGAGGTATTCCTTCTTACGCTAATTTGGCAGAAACTCATGTCTTCTTTAGATTTTATGCTAGAAGAAAAGATGGCTTTCGGTTTTTAAGGAAGATTTTTCAATTATTTTGAGCTCAATCTGTCATTGCAGTTGCGTTTAGGGTTTTCAGTCCACTAACTGTATACTTTCAGTGGTAGGAAAGATATTCATTCCTCTATGCCACTACGTAGACACCGGAAAGGGATCATGAAATTTCTCAATGGATATGGGCTATGATGTATATCTCCCGAGGAGTATTATTAAACGGAAAGATAACATGCTACTTAGATGGGCACTGCACAGCCCTCAAAAATTCCATAATAAGAAACTATTTAAAAACCAAGACACCCTTTCTTCGAGTGTAGCACTTAAAGAAGACACGATTTGTTACCAAATGAGTGCAGGAAGGAATATTTTCGTGCATTTTTTCTACAAAATATATACATATATATGTTGCTAGTAGAATCAGATATATATCAGGGCGTCTAAATCGATAGAAAAAAATTGCTACTACTTATGTAGCTATTTTATATTGAGTGCAGCCATTGCGAGCAGCCGAGAAGTGCATTAAGAAGTGGACATCCTAGCGCGTCTGAGACATAACATCAGTATGCCTCAGGATAATCCAAAATTTTAAGCCCACTTAGGTTATCCGTGCTAATCGAATACGCATTTCGGAATTTCGGCCAGCATTTCACAAGATACGTCATTGACTGTAGCTAACGTATTACAGACGATTTTCTACTCAGTCACCGATATTTTAAAATAATCGTTCTTGCTGACAGTTCCGTTGTCTTTTGTTTTTCTTACATTTCAAAGGTAGTCTGCCAAATTTACGAATTTGGGTAGAATGACAACGCCAGTAACTTTGATTCGTAAGCTTTTAGAGGCCGAGAGCAAGCACTACACTCGTTATACTGGAGGAATCAACTGGCCTAAACTCACTCGTTCTTCATCTAAAACGTGAGTGAACTAAGGAAAGCAAGATTCAGTTAGAAAAAAAACGGGCGGAGCAATCATCCCACAGTCATTAAGGACACTAGGACATGGGGCTTGAGACGTCGTTACTAAGATTCTAAAACAGAATCCTAGAAGGGCAGGAACCATCAAAAAAAACAAAGGACGGCAGTAAAACCAAGATAACCATGGATGTAGAGTGCAATAAAAAAATGGGAACCTCCGTCACAGTGACAAATAAACTGCTTGACGACGTAGTTGTAGCTATTGAAAAGGAGTAAGAGTTTTATGGCAAGGAGGCACGCCCTCACTTCTTACTTTACTACATACTTCAGAAAATTCCCTTGATAGCAAAAGGGTAGACTTAAAATCATGTAGTGAGCCGCAAGATGTGCCTGGGTAGCGTGAATTTTACATGAGGACTGGCTCTTAGAAGTTTTCCTGCGTCTGGCATCACTGTTTGATGACAATCACTAACGTGCTGGCAAAAGCCCTTTTCTGGTGTACGAAACCTATCATATGAATAGCGATTCATGGCTTACATGACGATGGACACGTGAAAAGATCTTGCAAGAAAGATCAAACTAGGCAAAAAGTCACCAGCTAATTTTTGTTCAAATAGTGCGGGTAAATAAAGGGGCATTGTGCTTAAGAAACGCTACTTTATAAGTCAGAAGACAAGCCTTAAAGAGTAGAAGACAGTCAAGTGAAAGGTTCCGTCGGGTGCAGGTATTTCACTCAAGACCTCGCAACTAAAGCCGCAACAGAAAGATATTCAATCAGAAGACAAGGAGTCAACAGAGTCGAGTTTTTTTAAACCAGGTCTTAGGAGCCAAGAAACAATGCTCGACCGTCAAAGAGTTCCAGCAAAAAAATTCGGAATCCAAGATATATGTGAAATCGGCAGTCCCAAACATTTTTGGAATAGTGCTAGATGTAGCGTCTTCATTTTCTTCATCATCCCAGATTTCAAATGGTAATGAATATATATCGATATATCTTCATTAGTTATGTAATGTTGTTAATCGTCGATCGACAATTAACAACATTACATAACTAATACCATAGAGGAGAAAATGGAACTTATTGATGTTCTTGCTGTTATAGCAATAAAATGCATATATTCGATGCAATATACATGTATGAGTCGACTGAATACAATTGCTAAAGCAATAACCGAAAAATGTTATGATAAAAGGCTATCCAAACAACGAAATATGAATAGAACAATGTTCGCAAAAAAAGGAAAATTACCTTAAAAAAGGAGTTTGGAGGAGTTTGTCAATAAACTCAACGGACCCGGCTGCTAATCCCATTTCACCATTTTGCTGTGAATATTGTGCCCAAATTGGCACAGCTGCGACAATAAAAAAAGCAGCATTATTAGTTTCACATTATTTTGGTGGCGAAGGTGCTAAAGTTGGAAATGACGAGTGTTCTCAGTTGACCGCGTAAATATGGGGTAAATGCATTGCACAATATTCTGCGAGAGCCTGTAGGAACTAAAATTTTCTATAAGATATCAGAGAATGTGGTGCTTATCGATGGCAATAGCGATGAGGGATCTAAACCGGTCTAGGATCTCCTAGACTACTTGGGCTCAGATAATTATCCTCGGCACAGAAAAATGCTAAACTTTGCATTGTTACATGCAGATTTTGATGTCTTATTTCTTCATATTGACATTAATGGTCGTCTCTTAATTGGCTTAGTGCTTATCGATCGTGCTTGCCGTCGAACTCTGAAGGAAACTAAACTTCCACTGAAACGCATTGTTTATATGAAAAAATTGATCTAGGGGCGCTTGATGATTTTAATAATTTTATGTCTCGTTACGGATCAATTTTCCCTGTTCTTGGTGCCCTTCTTGACGGAAAGTTGCCAACGCTTTCGTCTCAGCAGTGTGAGACGCTCATGCCTCTGATTAACCTGGTTAATACTGAGACCGAAGACAGGCACAAACAAGGTTTCAATTTTGTATTAAAAAACGTTCCTAAGAGTAAGCAGCCAAAAGATATCGCTTTTTATTTCCTCTATTTATGCGGCTTCAACTTAAGGGTCGCGTAAGCTAAAAGGCTTTCATCTAGGAGCAAGAATCCACCAATTCTTTCAAACTCTTTTCGTCGATCGAAGTGGACTTTATTTTCTCCCATTTGGAGCGCTCGACTCAATATCTCAGGGGAAATAAACGTTTTCTTAGTCGAGATCAAATTCCACTGCAACGAAGAGTTTCTCCCCCATTAACAAACGTAAAGCCACCCCCGAATTCTACTCATATGCCTTTTACCTCTAAAGCAGTTTCCCCATCTGGTGTCGACCAAATCTCCCCGCTATCTACAGCCGCCCCAGTTCTATCTGCTCTTCGACTGATCACATTATCACAGAGACAGTTGAAACTAGCCTCAATAACATTCCCCCACGAAGCAAGGATTGTTCAAATGCAGTTCCCAAACTTACAAGGGAGCATTATCTTAACAGTAAAGATTAGCCAGTCCTTGAAGCGCAACCGACTCCCAGCACTCAGACTAATGATTTAGTTAATAAACTTACATCGAATCCACCCCGTTCCCACGCGTGGCCACTCAGGTCTGACCTCGTGGTTATGTCCAATAAGCTAGATTATAGTTCCGGGAGATGTTTTAGCGGCCTACCCTCACCCACTAGCCCCTACTTTCCTTCTAGGCTCCCTCCTCCTCCCCTTCCCCCACAATTTAACTACCAACAAGTCCATCCATGTTCTAACTGCCCTAGCATTCCAATGTTTGAAAACTATATCCCCACATTGTTTAGGACTCATACTCAGCCGTCTCCTGCTGACTGCCAGTACGTCAATAACTCTGCACTAACTGGTACTTATTCTCAAAGCATCATTAACTCACTGCTTACATATCCGCCTCCAGTTTTTTAAATACCGTCGAAAATAGCATTGCCGTTCGAAACACATTAGATATTATATTATTGAATGCCAGGTCAGTTATAAACAAGATGGCCCAAATCAAAGCCATTGCTCTGGAAATGACGCCTGATATTATATGTGTAACAGAATCTTGGACCCATACTCTAATTCCTGACTCTGCCCTTCTCATAGATGACTTCGATTTTCACCGCCAAGACTGCAAGACTAGGCGTGGGGGTGGTTGTCTTCTTTATCTTAAATCCTACATAAAGCACTTTCCCTAGTACTTAGATTTTTTCTCATTCACGGGAAACTTCTGCTTTGCATCTGTTATTCTCTCGCCGCAAAGAAAGGCAATTACTGGCTGTATCTACAATCCCCCAAATTCTTTAGCCAGTGATGATTCAGAACTCTGTGAAATCTTTAAATTAATTTCGGAAGCTGCTTTCTATGTTAAAATAATCACTGGGGATTTTAACCTTCCTGAAATAGACTGGGTTTCTAATAGCTGTCCACCAAGATTCCAGCCCTTTCAAGATATTGTCAATTTTTCCAATTGGTCCCAATTGGTGCGCTCTCCAACAAGGGAGAATCACATTTTAGATCTTATCTTTACGAACGACATTGCTTCTCTTTCTGTTGCTTTAAAAAAGGACCTCTTTGACAGTGACCACGTATTAATTCATTGTTGCTTACCGCTCGCCATTTCAAAAAAGACCAGTGTCCTTCGGATTTACATGAACTATGACTGCGGAGATAACGACTTAATAAATATATTAGATCTTTGGATTGGTGTGGCTTCCTCACTTGTCACGATGCAACCATTTTTTGTGATGTCATGTCCAATGTTTCCAAGGACATTCTAGAGTTTGTGCCGCGTAGATATCTCAAGCCTAATTATTCAGATTCCCATGTTCCTCATTTTCTTCAGAACAGACTAAAAATTTGAGGCGACAGCTGCGTGACCCATTCACTAGTTCCTTATCAGTTCATCTTAGAATCACAGAGATTTTTGAGATGGCCTCAAGGATGCGCCAAGCGCGCGACAGGCAAAGAGAATCAATTTCTCTCAGTGGTTCGAACCCTGGCAAATCCGTCGCTAACATCTTCCGTCATCGGTCCTCCTCTAAGCGTGATCACGAACTTCCACCCCTGCTAAATGATAACAAAGTCTTTCTAAGCGATGACAATGACAAGGCGGAGTTGTTTAGTGCTTTCTTTGCAGAACACCTTGCTACCGATTCCGATCCGGTCCCTTTCTTTCGATCACTTTCAGATAGGACACTTAGTAAAATTGATGTCTCATCAGATCTTATTAAGAAGCACATAAGCCGTTTAAAATACTCACACTGATCAGGAACGGACGGGATTCCTTCCCATATTACTGAGTCATTTATTCTCTGTTTATATTTCAAAAGGATTCTTTCTTGAAACATGGAAAACGTCAATTATCATTCCCGTCTTCAAGTCAGGATCTCGGTTCGATGTTAATAACTATCGGGGCGTGCACAAAACGCCGTCTCTAACAAAACTTCTTGAAAGGATTATTTTCAATGAAATTCTTGACTTCTGTCTAGCTAATCGGCTTCTGAGCTCTAGTCAGCATGGATTTTTACCTGAACGATCCTGCGAAACATGTCACTTGGCTTTTCTTAATCTAATCACTTCTCTTCGTAATGAGCGGCAGTCAGTGGTAGTTATTTACTTTGATCTTAGCAAACCCTTTAACAAGGTGCCCCATAGACATCATTTAGTAATTCTGATTTAGTACGCTTAAGCAGATGGGGTTAGACATGGCAGATGGAGTTTTCATCATCCAAGTGTAGTTTCATATCTTTTGGTCCTGCCAAACTTCCTCGTCGCATACTTTTTCAGAATAACCCACTCTCAGAAGGCCTCACTATAAAGGAGCTAGGTCTAAGTTTTATAAATAAGCTTGCTTTATCACCTATCGCAGATAGAATCTCTGCCAAAGCCGCGCAGATATGTGGATTCATATCGCATATATTTTTCCTTCCGGAAATGAAGCTAAGAATTTATCAACTGTTTGTTCTTCCAGTCCTCGAATACTGCCGTCCTTTCTTCGGTTTAATGAACTCCTGCGACCGTAATAAAATCAAAAATATTCGGAGGTTTTTCACCCGGAAACTGTTCTCTGAAGCTTCGTCCGGTATTTCTGATACTCAAAGATGACATCTGGCGAAAATTAAGTTTTTGTGGGTTAGAAGACTCGAAGCTGGCCTTTGCTTCCTTTTTAGCATCAACTCTAGCTCCAGTCTTCCGCTCATTGACACTCTCACTCCGAGAGATCGGTCTTGTGCCACGCGCAACTCCTGCATGGTGATTCCGTCGCCTCTTTGTACTACATCTAAGCTCTCCCTCTTCTTCGCTTCCAAATGTGCCTTCCTTTGGAATAATCTTCCGCCTGAAATTAGATTATCACCTAATTTACTGGTATTCAAGTCGAAATTACGCATAAATCTTACACCGGAAAGCATAAACGCACTGTTAACGGTCTCATTCCCGAATACTCAGATTCTTGACTTCGAGAAGGGTCCTCCTGGGATTTAGTGGTAGATTAAGTGGTAACTCTTAATTATATCATTAGAAACCCCTGTTTTTAATTGGTTTTTAAATCCACTGCTATCACTCCCCCAGATAGTGACAATTTTCGCGGTGTTTGATGTCATCTCCCGCATTTCGACCTCGTGCGGTCTGTCGACACTCACGGTGGAACCCTCAGTATTCACCGTCTACTAGTAGTTTGGTCGTACCTCCCTTCCCCACTGCTCGGCTGAGCTGGAAGCGTGCTGTGGCCGATCGCATCTGGGTTCCTCTCGTCTGGCCTCTTTGACGCGAATAGTCTCATGCGGCGTAGCAATCCGGCCCAGACTATGTCAGTTGTGAATCCCGTTTACAATACCGCACGCAGGCCAGTCCTGTCGGACCCGCATATGTACCCCTCAAGGCTGACATTTATTGCTACCCCGACGATGACCGACAACAATCCTTTATATACCGCCACCTGCAGGCCAGTCCTGCCCGCTTTTTTCTGTCATTATTTTTATTGAGCGGTTTGTTTCTCCGATAAAATTAATCCACACATTTTTAACTTTTTGTATGGAGTTTTTTTTGACCCCTCACTAGTCATGTTTCTCAATGGACTACTACTTCAGAAACTCTAAATTGCATTTTGTGAGGATTCTGCCTACCTCGTCTGAAACTCGCATGTAAATTTATTCTAACTTAGGGTAAGGTGACACCATACTAACAGCACAGGTACTAGCCAAAAGCCCATACACGCGTGTTTCGCCGATGTTTTGCAGCTGCATGGCGCAGCTGCGAGGGGTTCGGCTCGTCAGTGGGTCCCCCAGCATTCCCCGTGTGTTTTCTGGTAGATACTCCAATTTATGAATATTG